GCCGCCGCTGCCGCCGCCGCCGCCGCCGCTGCCGCCGCCCGGGGCCGCGGTGGGCAGCGGGCAGCGGGCAGCCGGGGTGCGGCCACCATGGCCGGGAGGACGCGGAGCGGCGAAGCGCTGCGGGTGGTGGCCCGGTGCCGCCCCATGAGCCGGCGGGAGGAGGCTGCGGGCTGCGAGCGCGTCCTGGAGCTGGAGGTGAAGCTGGGCCGGGTGACCATCCGCAACCCCCGCGCCGCTCCCGGAGAGCTGCCCAAGACTTTCACCTTCGACGCCGTCTACGACGCCAGCTCCAAGCAGGCTGATCTGTACGACGAGACGGTGCGGCCGCTGGTGGACTCGGTGCTGCGAGGGTTCAACGGCACCGTGCTGGCCTACGGGCAGACGGGCACCGGCAAGACCTACACCATGCAGGGAGCGTGGGGGGACCCCGAGACGCGCGGCATCATCCCCAGCTCCTTCGAGCACATCTTCACGCACATCTCGCGCTCGCAGAACCAGCAGTACTTGGTGCGCGCCTCCTACCTGGAGATCTACCAGGAGGAGATCCGCGATCTGTTGGCCAAGGACCAGAGCAAGAAGTTGGAGCTGAAGGAAAACCCCGAGACGGGTGTCTACATCAAGGACCTCTCCTCCTTCGTCACCAAGAACGTGAAGGAGATCGAACACGTGATGAACCTGGGTAGCCAGGCGCGTTCGGTGGGCAGCACCAACATGAACGAGCGCAGCTCCCGCTCGCACGCCATCTTCCTCATCACGGTGGAGTGCAGCGAGACGGGGCCGGACGGCCACGAGCACATCCGTGTCGGGAAGCTCAACCTGGTGGACCTGGCGGGCAGCGAGCGGCAGAGCAAAACGGGCGGCCCAGGCGAGCGGCCCAAAGAGGCCTCCAAGATCAACCTGTCCCTCTCCGCTTTGGGCAACGTCATCTCGGCGCTGGTGGATGGCAAAAGCACGCACGTCCCATACCGGGACTCCAAGCTGACCCGCTTGCTGCAGGACTCGCTGGGCGGCAATGCCAAGACCATCATGGTGGCCACCTTGGGCCCGGCGTCGCACAGTTACGAGGAGAGCCTCTCCACCCTCCGGTTCGCCAACAGGGCCAAGAACATCAAGAACAAACCCCGGGTGAACGAGGACCCCAAGGATACATTGCTGCGGGAGTTCCAGGAGGAGATCGTGAGGCTGAAGGCGCAGCTGGAGAGGCGCGGCATGCTGAGCAAGAAGAGGAGGAGGAGCAGCCGGAGGAAGAAGGCGGCGGATGGGGAGACGGTGCAGGAGAACGAAGGGGAGGATGACAATGAAGATGGGCTGGAGAAGAACATGGAGAACTACCTGCAGGAGCAGAAGGAGAGGCTGGAAGAGGAGAAGGCTGCTATCCGCGATGACCACAGCCTGGTGAGCGAGGAGAAGCAGAAGCTGCTGGAGGAGAAGGAGAAGATGATCGAGGACCTGCGGAAGGAGCAGGAGGCCACGGAGCTGCTGGCCACCAAGTACAAGGTGAGTTTTGTGATGTGCTGGTACCAGTGGGTGCCGCTGGGTGGGACCTGGGGACAGCTGTGGAGGTGCTTGAGTGCGTGGCCAAGTGGGCTGGTGGTGACCAAGCAGGATGACCAAGTAGGGTGATGGTGCAGGATGACCAAGCAGAGTGACCAAGCAGGATGACTGAGCAAGCAGAGTGGCCAAGCAAGGTGATCAAGCAGGGTGACCAAGTAGGGTCACCAAGCAAGGTGGCCAAGTAAAGTAATCAAGTAGGATGATCAAATGGGGTGGCCAAACAGATTGACCAAGTAGGCTGGCCAAATAAGGTAGACAGAGGTGGGGTGGCTAGCAGGGTCCTCAGATGAGGTGCCCAAGCAGTGTTCCCAAGAAAGGTAGCCAAAAAGGGTGACCAAGTGGGGTAGTTAAGTGTCGTGGCTTGCAGGGTCCCTGTGCACAGTGCTTGAGAGGTGGCCAGGTAGGGTGATAAAGCAGGATGACCAAGCAGAGTGACCAAGCAAGGCTGCAAACCAAGGTGGTCAAGTAGGGTAGCCAGGTGAGGTGGCTAGCAGGGTCCTCAGGACGGGTCTGCACACACAGTGCCCAAGTAGTGTCCCCAGGGAAGGTGTCCAAGTAGGATGACCAAACAAGGTAGCCAAGTAGGGCAGCCAAGTAAGGTGGCTAGCAGGGTCCCCAAGCATGGTACCTAAGCAGGATCCCAAAGCAAGGTGACTGAGCAAGGTCCCCAGTCAGGCTGCCCAAGTGAGGTACATAAGCAGAGTGCTCAGAGGGAGCCCCACTCCCCTGGGCAGTGTTGGACTGAGGTTGCCCACAGACACATCCTGGCATTGTGGGGGGACTTTTTGTTGGGGCTGCTGAGGGCGTGGAGCAGGCAGGTCTACCCAACCATGCCCACTGATGGCACCAGTGTGCTGTGCTGTGCTCAGCACAACAAAGCAGCTCGCGGCAGAGAGGGGGAGTGATGCTGCACGTTGGGACTGCTGCCCCCAAGCAGCCCCTGGAACACGCCCAGGGCTCAGGGATGTTCTGGGATGCACCTGGATGCAGGGATGGGTCTCCAGTGCTGAGGTGGGAAGGAAGCTTGGGTATCCTAATCCACAGCATCACAGCCCTGCTGTCATTCTTCGTGTTACATCGCCAGGGTTTGAGGAATTGGAGGAAGGGATGCTGGGGCAGGGCTCCGGGCCGGCACTGGGCTCCCTGCTGTGCCATGGCCACGGGGTGGGATCCCTGCCATACAGGGGTGGTAGCAGCACAGAGACGGGGACCAGCAGCCCTGGGGACATGTGACTGTACCCAGGGATGCATGGCCATGCCCAGGGGTGCGTGACACACTCCCACCATGGTGCTGCACCACTGGCAGCTGTCCTGCAGTGTCTCCTTGTCCGGCACAGCACAGTGGGTCTGGCTCAGGGCCATGGCGTGTCCGGTAATTGCTGAGTAATGAGGCAGGGATGGAGGCAGGATGACTCTGCATCCCCTTCCCTGGCCTCCAAGAGCTTCCAGCCGTGGGGGGCCAGCCTGGGGGGGGGCGGGGGGATGGGGAGGCATCATCTAGTGGACAAAACCCTGTTGGGTGCAGGACAGGAGCACTGCAGAGGGCTGCCCATACATACATGGGTGGTACATGCAGAACCTGTACACATCTGTGTGGACACGGGGTCTGTTGCACCATCCTGCTCAGACAGATGTGCACCATTGCAGGCAAACAGATGTGCACTGTCCTGCTCAGACAGATGTGCTCCATCCAGAGGAGGCAACAGCCTCCATCTCAAAGCAGAGCTCCCAGCATCTGCCACATGCATCCTGTGGCCATGGGGGGACGGTGCCATCGGCTGTAAGGTCAGCACCACAATCTGGGGAGCTCAGGGCATGGGCGAGTGCTGGAGGAGTTATCTGGAGGCAGGAAATGGGTTGCAGTGAGAGGCTTAAGGGTTCAGCTGTATTAAGGAAGATTGAGCGTCGTCTTCATCGCAGTAAATAAACACTTCTGCAGGGAGAAAACAACAGGACTAAAAGACCATTTCTGCAGCAGCAGGGTGGGGCAGAGCTGGCTGTGGGGTTTATGGCCCCTCTCGACCCCGTAGCAACTCACCATCATGTATTGCAGGTGCTGCATGTAGAAAGTACCCATACAGTGGCTAGAAAGGGGAAAAAAAAAAATAGGAGAAAAACAGGGAAAACGTGGTATTGCCCCAGATAATGTATGTGTAGCTCTGTGGGTTTGCCCCAGAAACCTTCGTGCCCAAGAGATGCTGTCCCCCCTTCGCACCGCGTCACCACCCGCGTGTCTGCTGGTTGCTTGGAGACGGCAGCGATGGGGTCCCGGGGGGGCACAGCCTTTGTCACATCCCATGTTCCAAGGGTGTGTGCAGATGTGTGGGTGTAAATGAGTGTGTGCATGCACACAAATGCCAGCATGCATGGGCGTGCAGATGTATGTGTGCATTGGTGTAAATGAGTGTGCGCTCACGTGTGCACGAATGTCGTGGGGAGAAGTGTGCATGCATGCAAGCATGAGTGTGTGTGTGTGTGTGTGTGTGTGTGTGTGTGTGCTCAGCGATGTGTGTGCACAGCTGTGTGATGGGGAGCACATTTGCCCTGGGGAGGGGAAGGGAAATGCAGTTGGGAGGGGTAGGGTGGGGTGGGATGAAATAGGATGGAGTGGGGTGGGATGGAGCGGGATAGGGAGGGGTGAGATGGGATGGGATGAGGTGAGATGGATTTGGATGGGATGGGGTGGAATAGAGGAAAGGGGGTGGGATGAGATGAAACTGGGATGGCGTGGAATAGGACTGAGCGGAGTGGGATTGCGTGAGCTGGAGTTGGATGGGATGGAATGGGATGGGACATGATGGTTTGAGATGGGGTGGGATGGGTGGGATGAGATGAGATGGGGTGGGGTGGGATGAGATGGGATGGGATGGGGTGGGGTGGTGTGGGCTGTGGGGTCAGGGTGGGACCGTCACAAGGAAAGCAATGGCAGCTCCTACAGCCCAGCCCGGTGCCATCCTTCGGGCATCCTGGCAGAGCTGGAGTGGGGAGCTCAAACGAGGAGCACCGCAGGGTCCAAACTGCACTTGGGATGCACTGCTCAGCTCAGCTTGGCACAGCTCAGCTGGCTCCGCTCGGTTGGGGCGGATGGCCCGGCGCCGTTCCCCGCTGCCGGCAGCTGCTGCACATCCGTGGCGCCCCGCGGGCTCACAGCTGTGCGGAAGGAAGTGGGAGCGAAGCAGCCCTGGGTTTGTGCCAGCAGCCCCGGCCACGTCCCCACGGCGCCGCATCTATCAGTACAGGGAGCAGGACGGGGCTGGGGGGCACAAAATCTCCAAACTGTACGATATCCTGAGTTGGATGGGACCCCCAAGGACCAGCAAGCCCAACTCCTGGCTCTACCAGAACCACTCAAACCCTATGTCTGAGAGTGGTGTTTTTGAACCCTTGGGTTATACGTGGTGGAGATGCCAGAGGAATCCCAGGCATATATACAGACCAAAAGGAGCAGTGCTTGAGAGCAGCCCTGCAGAGAAGGACCTGGGGGTCCTGGTGGATGAAAAACTTAACATGAGCCAGCAGTGTGCTCTTGGAGCTTGGAAAGCAAATGGTATCCTGGGCTCCATCAGAACAGGAGTGGCCAGTTTGGCCAGCAGGGACAGGGAAGTGATTGTCCCCATCTACTCTGCCCTCGTGAGGCCTCATCCGGAGTACTGTGTGCAAGTCTGGAGCCCACAGTACAAGAAAGACAGGGAGCTGTTGTAGAGGGTCCAGAGGAGAGCCACAAAGATTATCAAAGGGCTGGAGCACCTCCCCTACAAAGACAGGCTGAGGGAGCTGGGCTTGTTCAGCCTGGAGAAAAGAAGGCTGCGGGGTGCAGCCTTTCAGTACCAAAAGGGAGCCTACAAACAGGAGGGGAATCGACTCTTTGAAAGGGTTGATAACAGCAGGACAAGGGGAAATGGTTTGAAGTTGAAGGAGAGAAGCTTTAGGTTGGATGTCAGGGGAAGTTCTTTACAGAGAGAGTGTTGAGGTGCTGGAACAGCTGCCCAGAGAGGCTGTGATGCCCCATCCATCCCTGTAGGTGTTCAAGGCCAGGTTGGATGGGGCTCTGGGCAGCCTGGGCTGCTATGAAATGTGGAGGTTGGTGGCCCTGCCTGCTGCAGAGGGTTTGGAGCTTCATGATCTCTGAGGTCTCTTCCACCCCAATCCATTCTATGATTCTGTGATTCTATGAGATGCACTGACCCTCCCCTTTCTGCCCTCCCCAGGCCATGGAGAGCAAGCTGCTGATCGGCGGCAGGACCATCGTGGACCACACCAATGAGCAGCAGAAGATGCTGGAGCTGAAGCGGCAAGAGATAGCTGAGCAGGTACCACCCCATCCATCCCAGTCCCAATGGATTGGGAGCATCTGTGGGACCAGAATGTCCACAGTGGGGTTAGGGGGTCCGTGGGGTGGTCAGTTCCCATCTCAGCTCTGATCAACCCCCTCTTGGACGCAGAAACGCCGTGAGAGGGAGATGCAGCAGGAGATGCTGCTGCGGGATGAGGAGACCATGGAGCTGCGGGAGACCTACACATCCCTGCAACAGGAGGTGGAGATCAAGACCAAGAAACTGAAGAAGGTGAGAGAGCCGGGGGAGCTTCACTTGGGTCGGGAGGGACATGGGTTTGCCTTTGGTTCGTGTCTCAAACTTGGGGGCATATGTCCTGCCCACTATCCATGGGCACCTGATGCCTTGGAGGATGTTTCAGGCGTGGTACTGGGGACTACTGGGGACACCTGATGCAGGCACTCATGTCATCATGCCCTGGGGTCATCTGTGCCACCAGGAACACCTATGCCACCATGCCCTGAGGACACCAGTGCCACCATGCCCAGGGGACAGCCATGCCACCATATTTTGGGATACCATAAGGAACACTCATGCCACCATGTTCTGGAGACACCCATTTCACAGGAGACACTTATGCCACCACGCTCTGGGAACACCTGTGTCAATGGGGACACCTGTGCCACTGGGGTCACCCATGCCACCATGTCTTGGGGACTCCTGTGCCATAAGGGCCACCCATGCCACCAGGGCTGACGTGGTCTCTCTGGGAACAGCTGTACGCCAAGCTGCAGGCTGTGAAGGCAGAGATCCAGGACCAGCACGACGAGTACATCCGCGTGCGGCAGGACCTGGAGGAGGCACAGAACGAGCAGACACGGGAGCTGAAGCTCAAGTAGGTGACATCGGTGTCCCCTCGGGTGAGCAGTGAGGCTGAGGTCCCTCTACACCCCCAGCCCCAGCAATGCCACCCCAAGCACCCAGCCCCAGACCCAGGGGCTGCAGATCTCCACGGAGGAGGCAGTCGTTCTATTCCCTATCTTACCAAAACCAATCCAGACATATATAAATATTTTAACATTTTCATGATAAAATATTTAAAATTCCGCTCGGAGCACAATTTTGTGTCAAGTTTTGCTCCACGCCCTTTGGAACGTAATTAAAATGCTTTAGGAGTGTGCAAACCTCAGTCAGCAATTCATCTATTCAGAGCTGTTTTCTGCAGCTTCTTCATTTGCCCCAAAGCAACGTGGGAAAAAGTGGGGAAAAAAAATTCCTTTGGGGTCAGTTTTAAGGTGTTTCCTCTCATTTTCTCATCTGGCAGCTCTGCAGTGGTCTGAGATCATGCAGTCCCTTCTGTATTTTGCTGCTGCAACAGTGGGGCTAGTTTGGATTTCCATCCTTCAAAGGGGCGCTGAGCAAATGCACGGGGTTGGGTTTGGGGTGTTCCCAAGGGGTCCTGGGTGAGTCATTGCAAAATGCATTGCCAATTGTGCATTGCAGGCAAGGCTGCAAACAGAATGGTGCAAGCTGCACTGCAAGTTGTGTCTTGCAGTCTGTATTTCAGAATGCACTATAAACTGTGCATTGCAAACTGTGCCTTGTAGGCTGTAAACCGCTGTGTTTTCATTTCATTTCAGACCATGTATTTCAAGCAATTGCAGGTTGCATTGCAGACCATGTATTGCATACAATGCACCTCAGACCATGCATTGCAGACACTGCCTGGGGACTGCTAAGGAGAGGACCGTGGGGTTATACCCTGAAGGCAGCACGCAGAGCTGATGATGTTTCTTCTGCTCCTCTCTGAATGACAGTCTTCCTCTGCTCTTTCTCTCCTGCCTCTGCTGGATCCCTGGTCTCTATCCGCCCGCTCCCTCTTCCTCTCCTCCCCACTCATCTTTTCACCCCCCATCTGCTCTCCACGTCCTGGCTCCTCTCCTGATCTCTTCTCTCCACTCCTTTTGCTCCACTTGCCGTGCCCTGTCCTGTTACCTCCCTCCTCTCTGCTCCATCCCACCTGCCACTCCTCTCTCCTGGCCTGTCCCTCATTCAGGTACCTGATCATCGAGAATTTCATCCCACCAGAGGAGAAGAACAAGATCATGAACCGCCTCTACTTCGACTGTGAGGAGGACCAGTGGAAGTTCCAGCCACTGGTGCCGGCTGGCGGGTGCGTGCAGACATGGGCAAGGGCTGGGGACATCACTGGGTTGGGCACTGCGGTGCCACCATCCATGGGGACATGGAGAAGTGAAGGAGGTGCCCAAGGCACCAGGGTGGCCATCGGGTCCCATCCTGTGCTCAGGGAGCTCAGTGCTGTCTCATGTTGTCTAATGGGTGTTCCTCTCTTAATTTCCTGTTCAGGAACAGCAACCAAATGAAGAAGAGGCCAACCTCTGCAGTGGGGTACAAGAGACCCATCAGCCAGTACGCCCGCGTGGCCATGGCCATGGGGTCGCATCCGCGGTATCGGGTAAGGGAGGGGACACTGCTGGTGTGTGCTGGGGGACAAGGTGGTGTTGGGTCAGCAGGGAGGATGGATGGGATGAATGAGAGTGAATGGATGGATGGATGGATGGATGGATGGATGGATGGATGGATGGATGG